AATTCTTCGGCACTCGGCCTTTTTTATGGTCCAGCTCTCACAGCCATACATTACTACTGGAGCAGGCAAGATTAATGTGCTAATAAACCATAATTTGGCTTTCTTTGTTGTGTCAAGCCAATTTGCTCCCTGTAAATAGAAGTACTGCCCACTGATGCATGGTAAGTGAAGGGCAGGAATAATGGTTTCTTTCCCTTGGCAGAGAATTTTGTGCAAGAACCCATTTATATTTACAGGATAGAGCTCTTTTGTTCTCATTTGCTGACTGTGTAGCTAAATGAGATTGTTGGCAACTTTTTTCAGATGCTCTGACTCCCCCAGATGTTCAGAGGTGTGAGCTGGGCCCCCAAGTGATTCAGTTTGCTTAAAATCAGCTTGCATTTGGAAAACAAGAACATTAGGTCCCTTTTATTTGCTTTTTTCCCCTAAATTGTTCAGGTATGCTTCCTCTGCATATTTGAATTGTGTCCACAAACATGTGGCTTAAGACTTTGTATAAGAACAACAGCAACAACAAAAATTAAAATTCCTTTTGCTATTTTTGGTTTATGAAATTTGCCTCATTACTTGTGAGCAAGAATAGGATTGTTTGCTGTAAATAATCTTGCTCAAGATTATAGCCTATTTTACAACTTGAGAGCCACTGACCTCACTAGCATGCCTGGCCTTCTGTAACCAAATGGGCTCCCCCTAAACCTCTTGTTTGCTTCCCTGTCTGGGACTGGAGAAACCACAGACTTGTCAGGCTCTTGATAGATTAGAGCACAGGGTTGTTAGGTATTGTGTAGTTTGGTGTATCCCAGGTGATGTAGACCCAGAGCAAAACTAAGCTTTTTGACAAATCATGTGCCTCTTTTCTAGACCTAACAACAACAACAACAACACATCAGCTTTGGATGATGTGTTGTTGTGAATTTAAGCACAAGAATGGTAGCCAAGAAAGAAGGGGGGGGGGCTATCTAAACATTCACTTGCTCTTCTAATTGCCTTTTTATTCAGAATGATTGGCCAGTCAATTGTTTTGCCATTTATGGTGAGTGGGGAGAGAATCCCTTAAATTTGGGCCTTGATCTTGAGTGGAAAAAATAGCTTGAAGTGGAAAGAATTATGGAACTATTGCTGGTGCCATCTATCCTCAGCCCCCGCTGCCCCCAAAAATGATTGAGGTCCTCTGTGGTCAGTTCGGCTTTCAAAAATAAAAAGTTGCATTTTACATGCGGAAATCCCCAGTACTTTTACGTTTAGACTTTTTTTTTAGCCTAGATCAGAGGAGGGAAAGTGATATTTCCATTTGAATGATCAGGTAGCAGGTGTTGGCACTGACTGGAATAAGCTGGTTTGAAAACATACCATGCCCTCCTAATTCTCCATCAGGGTATCCTTCAGATTTGTTGTGCCCAGGTTGATAGGTCTTTCGGAAGCTGCAGCTGAATGCATCTGAAAAGCATCTGTCTGAGAGAGGATCAAATAGACAATATTAGCACAGATAATAAATAGTCTGATCAGCTGTAAGAAACCTTCTTCGTTCTCTGTGTATCTGGCTTTTGATCATTTCCCCACTAGTGACTTACAGTGTCTTCTGAAACATCTAGTCATCATTATGCCAAGACAACAATAATGAGGATAGATTTTATATCATGTCAAAACTATGGATGGGTAACAAAACTGTAAGTCGCTAGTGAGAAAATGGCCTATGTTGGGTCTGCCTCAATTTTCAAAATAGATGATCAGAAACAACCACTACATATATAATGTATTATTTCTCATCCTTTTCTCCCTTTTGCCTAGGCTGACAGTGGAAGAACACATTTGGTTTTATGCACGCCTGAAGGGGCTGTCGGAAAAGTTGGTGAAAAAGGAAATGGAACAAATGGCTATAGATGTTGGTTTGCCTCACAAACTCAGATCTAAGACAAGTAAACTCTCTGGTAAATTGCTATTATTCAGTTATTTAGTGTTGCTCACCTTATTGGTATACCTGTAGGATATAAGATGTTAAGAGCTCCCAGGGTTGATAAATCATTGTTCTTCTGCTGCGAGCTACAAGCAGACTTTCTAAACTCTTGAGAGATATTGTATATTTTTGTATACAACATCCTATCTATTGTGATTGATAGATGATGGCTTTGAAGAAAAAAGAAATGCAGAAGAAAATGGGAAGAAAAAAGAAATGGAGGGTGGTACTTAGTTGAGCAGCAAACATGAAGATTCCTCCTGGATGGTCAGAACAATTTGGAGGAGAAGAATGTTTTTCTCCTCCTCTAAATCCTGGAACTTACAGGATCTTCCTTGAGGAATTTGGTGAATTAAAAGAAAACAAAACCAAGCTCCCATTTCAAGATGTCCCATCCAGATTTGGGAAATCATTGCTATAGAATGGTAAGAAAAATACAATGGTGTCACTAGCATTATATTTCTTTTCCTTTGTCTCCTAAAGGTATGGATGTGTCCTTTCTCAAATAAGATCTTACATAATGATTGGTGATGATGGTAGCCCATCTCATCTATAGGATACTTAGTTAGGGAAGGCTAGTTCAGTCCTACATGCCTGCCCACTTGCTTCCCTATTGGAATATATTCGCATAAGTACATCATGGTAGTTCTGCAGATATTCCCAGAGAGACTAAATTTGTCCAAATTTGCCTCCTAGGTGGTATGCAGAGAAAACTTTCAGTAGCTCTGGCCTTTGTAGGTGGTTCTAAAGTTGTCATTCTTGATGAGCCAACAGCTGGAGTTGATCCATATTCCCGAAGAGGGATCTGGGAGTTGCTCTTGAAATATCGACAAGGTACTCATTCTTTTGTCTGGTGGTCTAATGAAAGTTTACATGCTTATATTGGGGGGTGATTGTCAGAAGTAGACTTTTTAGGTAAAGAAGAGCTGTGGTTTAGTGACAGGACACCTACTTTGCATGCAGAAGGTTCCTAATTCAATTCCTGTTATCTCCACTTTGAACTAGGGAAGACTCCTATCTGAAACCCCAGAAAGCAATTGCTAGCGAATGCATACAGTATTAAGCTTGCTCATACAATGATCTAATTCTATATAATTTAGTTCCATATTGTGTATTTTTGTTTGCCTTTTTTGTGTGCAAGAATGAAACACAATTACATGCAATAAGATCACTATTTTCATGCAATATTGCACTTAACACAACTGTAGCTGAATTCTCAAAGTATGTATTCCAAAGATTTTCTGTGCAGGAGAAGATTGGGCAGACAAAGATGACTTAGACCAAGTTTAAGGTGGCTGTCCAAGATCTTCCAGCTGAAGCCTTCCTAGTCTTGCTAACATTTTGCCCAGAACAACCTATCACTACCAGTTTTCTGATGTTTCAGGTTAAGGTGTCTCCCAGCCCAGCTATCTGCAGTCTTTTACACTAGAAATGCTAAGGACTGAAAGTGGGACTTTCTGCATGCTACACGTGTTCTCTTCCACTGAGCCACAGCCCTTCCTCATGAGGTGGTGTTTGACTAGGCTGTGATCCTCCAGTTGACCCTTCAATGATTTCTAAAGTTGTACATAGGGACAAGAACGTGTTGCTACTAAGGGGCAATCATAAACTTGGCATCAGATTTTAGCCAGTTAGAATGGCAGATCTTGATCCTCTGTATCTTCTTGCAATGTTTTTTTAAAAACACCTGCATGGCTCTTCAGATAAGCTTGGGACCACGGCTGTGAGGGAAAGCTAATTCGTTTGGTATTCCTGGTGTTCATTTGCCATCTCTTAGCTGTTGTTAGCCCTTGTAGGGAAAACAGAAATAGCACAATCACTAAGCTTCTCTAATGTATGTGTGTTTCTTTTGGATTGTAGGTCGCACAATCATTCTCTCCACACACCACATGGATGAGGCAGACATCCTTGGAGACCGAATTGCCATCATATCTCATGGCAAACTTTGTTGTGTTGGCTCTTCATTATTCCTGAAGAACCAGCTGGGCACAGGATACTACCTGACGTTAGTCAAGAAGGATGTGGATTCCTCCCTCAGCTCCTGTAGAAACAGCAGCAGTACAATATCTTACCTGAAAAAGGTATGGGCTGTTGCCAGTACTCTCTAAAACAATCTAAATAGATGGGGCTGCTCAAGTGTAATAACTTCTTTTCTTGGTGGCCATAATCATACAGAGTGTTCAGGAGCACAGTGGCACAATCTAAAGACATAGCAACATTCCTTTGATTTCAGTGCCCGCCTTTGTTGCTGTTGTATTAGAGTTGCAGCGTTCTTAAAATGTACTCTATCTTGACTTACTTGGCTGAAAGATTTTTTGATCACCCTTTCTTTTGTAATTAGGATGACAGTGTTTCTCAGAGTAGTTCTGATGCAGGCCTTGGTAGTGACCACGAAAGTGACACCCCAACAATAGGTAAGGTTGTTTCTTATGTACTGGTTTTCTGTACTTTATTTGGCTAGAGTGTGACTTCTTAATCCCCAGTGTAGTATTTCGATATGATTTTGATATTACTTTTCTGGTATTTAAAAAAATAGCCCAAAGTCTGCAGCTTTGATAAACAGATTATTAATCTGAGCATGGAGGCTTAGAAACCACCCTTTGCTTCTGGCAGTTGCTTCTCCTTGATGGGCTTTTGTTGTTGGTTAGTGTGGTGGTGGGACTCTTCTTTCCCCCTGCATCCCATAACACCTGCTCTTCTAAAGAGGCTCTCATCCCCTAGAACAGATTTGGGAAGAACGTGGGTAGCTCCCCATATCCTCGTGGCACAAGTGGGCTTCCTCTGCTAGTTGAGAATCCTTCTGTGGATAGATGAAGCCCTTCTATTCATGGAAATCAAAGTCTGCATCCAACGTTCTATTGTGAATTCAGTTGCTTTGCAATGAAGAAGAAATTGTTAGATTATATATTGGTTCAGCTCCCTGAGAAGTAGGCACTTTGGTCGTTAGCAATATCAGATATGAAAAGATTATATTTAGTTGGCACAACATAAAGCAACAGTAGCAGCAGCAGCAGAATCTGATGACAACTTGCATTCTTCTAGATGTATCTGCAATTTCTAATCTGATTATGAAGCATGTCCCTGAAGCAAGACTGGTGGAGGACATTGGCCATGAGTTAACTTACGTTTTGCCATACGAAGCTGCCCGAGAGGGAGCTTTTGTGGAGCTGTTTCATGAGATTGATGACCGCCTCTCTGACCTGGGCATTTCCAGCTATGGCATTTCTGAGACCACCTTGGAAGAGGTATGTGAACCATGCAGATTATGGAAGGAACAGCAGAAATTCTGGAATCAGGTGCCATAGCCCATAGCTCAGTTTTCTCCCAGGGGGTTGTGGCTGAGATAGCCTTCTTGTGCTTGGCAGTGGGATATGCTTCCACAGGGTAACAACACACATTCCCACAAAGTGCACCACAGTGTTTCCAAACTGTATAAAAGTAGTGGCTTTTCTGGTGGGTGGGGCTTCTTTAAAAAACTCAGAATGTGGTGCTGCCCATGGGGTCTAACTGTCCAATGCTATGAACTGTGGTCAGCGAAGATAGAATATTCAGATGTCTCTGGTAAGATGAAAATGATGGTAGGAACTTCATCTCTACTGATGTTACTGTGAGCTATGCTAATAAACGTTTTCTAGAGTTCTACCTATGGATTTTACTTACTCTTATCAAGGCATCCATGCATGGTGGTAGAGGCCTAACTGGAACCACCATCTGTGAGGTCAGCAAAACCTGATCTTTCCCTCTAGCTTTCTTTGGGAAAAAACTGCCCTCTCCCAACCTCTCTGTAGGGTTCTTTTAAAAAATTGGGTTACCCTAACCTTAACCTTAATCCTAACCCAACCCTACCTGGAAATGTCATGTTCAGCAACCCCAATTGGAGAGGGAAAACCTCCTACTGAATAGGTCCTATTTCTGGATAATCTTTCCCTGGTCAATCATAAAGCATTTGATTCCTGGCTGAAGTGTTAATATGGGAGACATTTCATCATACAATTTTCTTGATTTTATAAAGTTGAAACCTGCTTGCTTTAACTGGTATTATTTATTATTATTAGATTTATATCCTACCTTTATTTTGTACAAGTCGAGATGGTGTAGATCAGTGTTTCTCAACCTTGGCAACTTTAAGATGTATGGACTTCAACTTCAACATGCTGGATGAGGAATTCTGGGAATTGAACTCCACATGTATTAAAGTTGCCAAGGTTGAAACACTCCTGTAGATAATGCTCACACCTCCAATTTCCCTCACAATAACCACCCTGGGAGGTGGGTTAGGCTGAGAGAGAGTGACTGGCCCACAGTCTGCCTAAGGGAAGACTAGAACTCAGTCTTCTGGTTGCTAGTCCAGCACCTTAACCACTACACTGAATTGGCACATTGAGATGGTTCGTGCAGTTTATGCTCTTTTGAAGAGCCTTGAAGGTGCAATATAGCTTCCATGGAATAAACCACCATACCCTAAAGTCAGCACTTGTGTCTTTCAGATTTTTCTCAAAGTGGCAGATGAAAACGGTGTAGACGCAGAGACTTCAGGTAAACAATATAAATATTGTTTGTTGTTATATTTCTAAGGCTTATGAAGATATTATGCAGCCCTAAAATCAGGATTGTTGTATATTAAGTGTTCCTTCCGTGTGGTAGCCCTTCATATGTACCCGCTGTGTTTGAAAACTATGGGGCAAGAAAGGTTTATGCCACCAGTGGGGGCTTCCAGAAAGATGGGTCAGCAGTAAGGTGATCCATAATGTGATTGGACTGATTAATGTGTCGGCATCTTTCAAACGTTGCAGCCTCCATATTAAATATTTAGATGTGCTAAAAGCTGATATCATCTGAGAGTCTGTTGAGAAGATTCACAAGCCCTAGAATTAAAGAACCATGAGATGAGATCACCCAGCAAATGTTGATGAGACTGGCCTTTGGGTGCCCAGTTTTGAACCAAACCTGCAGCCACCTCACTGTGCTTCTATTCCATTGCCCTTTCTACCAAAAAATGACGTGTCACTTCCTTGAAGCAGCTTCTACTTTCTTTTCTGGGAAACTCCTGACTGGATAAGACTCTTAAAAATAAAAGTAAAGCAGAGCAGAAAAATGTTGCAATAGTTTTGTCAGCATGACTACAATTTTGATAGGAAATGAACTTTTCTTTTCAGATGGCACATTACCTGCTAGAAGAAACCGAGTCTTTGGAGACCGGCAAAGCTGCCTTCGCCCATTCACAGAAGATGCTTTTGATCCCAATGATTCTGACATAGATCCAGGTAGAGTGGAAAATTTCTATGTTTGTCTGCATTTGCCTGTGTGAGATAAAAAGTGTGTTTTAAATATAACTGAGGATCAACTGAGGGCTGATGTCCATCTGTGCTGTACATGATTTGTTGATCATACTTCAAATAAAGACTGAAGTTATGGATGGGCCATTGTAATTCACCTCCCAACACACCCATTTCTGGAAGAATTTTGATGAACTTCATGCATGCGCACAAAACCAGGTGTGCATAACTTGAGGCCCAAGAAATACAGGTGCTCTCCCAGATTGATACCAGATTTAATTTACAGGTAGTCCTTGCTTAATGACCCTAATTGGAACCAGAATTTCTGTTGCTAAATGAAGTGGTCGTTAGTCAAAACATTGCGTAACTGCACCACTTAGCGACGGCAGTTCCAGTAGTCCCAATTATGATAGTTAGGCGAGGACCTCATGCTTCTGCCCTGCCATGCTCGCCGCCACTTCAATTCCCCCTACCTATCTCCCCCCCCCATCTCTGCCTTTTTGGCTGCCCTGCACTCTGCCACCAACCCCTGTTGCCCCCGCTGCCCCCTCGCCGATCTTTGCTGTCTTCTTCCTCCCACTGCTGACGAGTTGTGCCTGACCACGGCAGTTTCTGGCCCTTCTTGAGGCTTGAGTACGTGCAGATACATTTACTACTAAGCCTGCCTTGATGTAACCTACAAAGTGGCACTGAATAATTAAATGACATGCACATCTGTGTGTGAATCAACATTTGCCACAATAAGCTAATAACAATAAGCTAGAAAATAGTTAGCATTTCCATTGATTGTGGAAAGGACAGTCAGGAGCAGTTCCCCAAGCCTCAGCACTGGAAGTTTATAACTTCTAGTTCAGCATTAAAGAAATGCAGTTGGCAGGCTGCTGTTTCAGCCACATGACTTCCATTTGCCAGCTGCTTCTCTGGCTCCAGCATGGCTTCAAGCATCTCTTTTACAAATTTCCCTGTTACTCCAAGAAGTTTGAAGGGGAAATTAGTCTACTGTGGGGATGGAAAATCTACCAGCTCTAACAACCCTACCAGACGTTCCTGAACTGCAACTCCTAGCCTCTTTAATCACTGGCCATGCTAGCTGGGGGTCTACATCTAATAAGCCATACAATTCTCGTTCTCCTAAGTAGGAGACCAGTCCTGCCCTGCCCTGAGAATCCCTTCTTTTACACCAGAGGAAAGGTTTCAAGGCCCTAAGCAGATGCTTACTTAAAGAAGGCGTCCTACCTAGAGGTTGTTTGGCTTAGGGGAAATAGGTGAAAGTCTCACTGACTTCCAACTCTTTGCTTGCAGAATCTCGGGAAACTGACCTTCTGAGTGGGATGGATGGCAAAGGATCCAGTCAGATGAAGGGCTGGAAGCTGACCCAGCAACAGTTTGTAGCTCTGCTTTGGAAGCGGCTGCTTATTGCCAAGCGCAGCCGAAAGGGCATTTTTGCCCAGGTGAGTTGGGTTCTCTCAGGGTTCAGTTCCATAGGAATTTCAAAACTGCTTCCCTTTCTCCTTGGTAAATCAGCTACTTTTGACCAATTCTGTCTGGTAGCTTACTTTTCTCAATGCCAAACTGCATGCTGGTGGTTTACACCCAAGGCGTTGAAATCGGATTCTTATTCCCCATCCAACACAAATTTAGGTTAAACTCTATATTGACAAGAATGCTAATTTGCAGGATGAATAAAGTTTTTCTGCCTTTTTCTGCTGAATTAATCACCTCAAAGGTTTTGGAGTTTTAATGTGGGATGAAGTTTGAAATGTGGTTTTGGTCTTGGGGAGACCATTGGTATGGTTGGCTGTTCTTTGGAAGGATTCTCTCTCTCTCTCTCTCTCTCTCTCTCAAATTTGTCACCCCCCATCTCACTGCAGAGCAACTCTGGGTGGTTTACAGTAAAAAGAATAAATATTAATTACAATACATTACAACAAGACTTACTATATAAATATTTTCCCCACAAACCAGTGCAATTATTTGATTTTTGTATCTGCAAGATTCACTTCCTTTGCTATTGAAAGGCGGTATGGCAAAGGAATTTGCAATTCAGTTTGACATTGCTGATTAAATATTGGAAATGATAGGAACTGTGTTTTTAGCATGTTGTGGAAAGCAGCTTTGGTGTTCTTGAAGAATTCTGTGAACATGTTCTCTTGCCTCCTCTTTGCATTGTTTCAGATTGTTCTCCCTGCCATCTTTGTTTGCATTGCTCTTGTGTTCAGTCTGATTGTTCCTCCCTTTGGAAAATATCCCAGCCTAGAATTGCAGCCATGGATGTATGACCAGCAGTACACATTTATCAGGTAAATATTAAACCATAGATCAAAAAATCTATATAACCTGGACATACTGAGTGTGGTGTGCAGGCTCCAACTCACAGATTAAGTCAGATGAGATAAATATTAGAAAACCAATTTATAATGTTATAAATACATCATATCGTATATTTCTGGAAAATCCCACTGGAATTCTGGGTGGAGATAGAAATAAATATGGAAGGGCTATGGAATTAATGTGAAGGAACATTAACCTTGTTTGAGACAAATAGCTTCATCCTCCTGAATTCTTCCTATGTGTTTGTTTCCTCTGTCTCTGTATTAATTTTAAACCTTGATGGTTTCCTTTTGATACATCCACAGCAATGATGCTCCAGAAGACAACAGCACTCAAAAACTTTTGAACGCCCTTCTCAACAAACCTGGTTTCGGGACCCGTTGCATGCAAGGATACTCCATTCCGTAAGTGGAATATTAGCAAAACACTTTGCAAATTGAAGAAAGTGACAGCAACAGCCTAATTAAGAACTGAAGAATACTTGAAATACATCATGGATCTCTTGGCACTTATTGGTGTGACTGTGTTGTGTGTTCAGTAATTCTGGGAGAAATATAGAATGTAACTACAAAATACTGTTTAAGGCAAGCACTTCTTAATCTCAAATTTCCAGGTATATTGAATCTGCAACTGTCACAAATCCTAAGTGGTATATGGCTAGTGGTTGACCTGATTGGAAATTTGGGTAGCTGCAGTCCCCAAGGCACCAGATTGGGGAAGTCTATTCTAGCCTAATGGTTTGTAATAACATAATTGGAAGTGCTTAGGCACAGCTCAGTAAAATCTTAGCAGCCAGATGAGTTGCTGAGATCATTTCCAGTTGTTTTAAGACAGAGCTCTTAAGATTTCATATTTGAAGGATGTAAGTTTTACAACCTACATGCAGGCCATATCTGCCTATACTGCAAACTGATGTAAATAGAAAGGACTGATCATCTACCTAATCCATGTGTGTATAACTGGTGATAGGAAATGGGGCTCCTTAGTCCTGCAATCTGGATGGCTAGTATAAGATTTCTGAATGAACGTATTTTCTCTTGTTCTTCCTTTGTACAGAGATACTCCTTGTTCTGTGGGAGAAGAAGACTGGTCCACAGCTCCAGTGCCTGAGACAGTCATGGAAATCTTCCAGAAAGGCAACTGGACAATGGAGAACCCCACCCCATCGTGCATGTGTAGCAACAAGGAGATCAAGAAAATGCTTCCAGTGTGCCCCGATGGGGCTGGTGGCCTGCCTCCTCCTCAGGTATGTGGTGCTCCAGTTGTTGGTTAACACTTGGGACATACTTTCTTCCAACCCTAATGAAGCATGCCTGGCAGCTATAACATCTTGCCAGGAGGTAGGAAAATAGATGGATAGATCGTATTAAAGGGCAACATATACCTGTGAATTATTTCATTTATTTAGTCAATTTATAAGCTGCCGTGGTGACTTTAGGTGGTGCACAACCATATAATGAATACAATTTTAAAAACAAAAACAAAAGAAAATTCATAACAATATCAGAGTACAGCCCACATCAGGGAAACTTTTAACTTAAAAGAGAAACTTCTAAATTAAAGCCTAGGGTTAGCTAACCTCTAATACATTTCAGAGGTTCAGATGCATGACCTCTGGGATGGATGGGAGATGAAATGTGCAATATTCATAGGGGCTCAGGTTGCTGATTTCTGTAATAGACAGTTGTCAAGCATTCTTTTAAGCCTATTTTATTTCAGAGTAAAATTAAGGGGATTCATTGCAACTGTAAGTGAATTTCCTAGATGAGCTGATACTCCCAACATGGATAGTCAGAACGCTATTCATTGAAATATGCCACAGCAACTAGATCTACTCCTTCAGTTGTAGCTATTAGCTTCTTTTTCCAATAGATAGCTGATGAAATAGTATCCTGTCCCAATCTGAGGCTCTAATATCCCTGCTTATTCAGTGTTCTATTTTTCTCCTCCTGCACTGTCTACAGAGAACACAGAACACTACTGATATCCTGCAGAATCTGACGGGGCGCAACATTTCTGATTATCTGGTGAAGACTTATGCGCAGATCATTGGAAAAAGGTGCCTTCCTGCTGCTGAGACTTTCTTGCTTAATGTTGCTACTCTTCTTACTTTATAGCAACTTTTGCTGTGACCATCAGACTGTAGTGTACACACTGATTTCTGTGGAACATAGTGACGCTTATTTCTTAGCAAAAATTGTTGTGACTGGAGTCCTTGGGGTTCTCTGAGCTTGGTTGTTTTCTTGCAGACGTTTCATTACCTGGCTAGGTAACATCTTCATCTTGTAATGAAACG